AGCCATGACAAACACTAAGCGATGTGTCGTACATGTCTTATGGTCACTAGACCACTTTCCATGGTGTCATGAGGGATCGGACGTGTGGCTGAAGTCTGTTTTCTATGCCTGGAGGAATTACTACGATTGATACATCTAAAGTCAGTAAATCTTTGGAATAAGGTTTAGATTCAGGACGAAATAGAAGTTTTTCAACCGGTTTAACCGATTCCTAATACGCTTGTATATTTTAAATTCTATCATAAACATAATCCCTGGTTTACGTGGCTCGCGACATCTTTGGACTGTTATGCTTCGCTTGTGGTATGTGTGTTCATGTAGGGGATCCAGCCCATCTAGTGCAGGAGAAAGAGTCACTGAAGTTGCAACGCAGTACTGCAAGTCCCACCGCGACCCCCAAAGAAAGATTATTTGCAGGAATCCTTAGTAATATTTTACACTATGTTTCTCAACCACCCTGCTCAAGCTCTTTGTATCCACTTGCTAGTATCTCTCTCTCAGAGCCTTTTCAAACATGCGCTTTGCTAGAAGTTGTGCGCCAGCTTGGATCTGGAAATCTGGGTATCAAGTATTGGCGCTTATCACTGGCCGTATACACCCTTTGCGATCCGCAAGATGAGGACTAGCATATTCGGTGGGCTCTCAGCGCACTCCAGCTGTGTCAGCCTTGTGCTTTTCTGTCAATTTTAGATCTCGCTTGATGCTGCGTGGCTGCCAAAGGCTGATGATTGGCTGTCGTTGTCATCAAGTGCGATGTCCGTTCCCTCTGATTGCAGCGAACTTAGTGTCTGCATTGCTCCAGCGATGCCCCTTCTTGTCTCTACCAGCGTATCACGCAGCATCTCGTTTTCCGACTCAAGAATCTGCCTATCGTGGCGGAGGTGGTTGGCTTCAGCCCGGAGCGTATTACTTTCGCGAAGACACTCATCTAGCCGAGAACGAGTGCGTTCCAATTCCACTTCGATGCGGCCGTTAGCAGCCTTAAGCTCGCATATCTCTGCCGTGAAAGAACCATCCATTATTCCTTCACGGAAACCCTGGGTCTTTATGCTCCGTCAGAAGGGCTATACAAATGGAGACATCTAGCAACGGGCTCACCTCCTTTGGAAAGCCGCATGTATTGGAATGCGGATTGACAGCTTCGAGTGAGGAACCGAGCTCCTTCAATATTTTCTGGTAAAGGTTTATCGTGGCACTACTTAGGTTTGATTTGAGCAAAGCGGCATTCGTGTTCGTGACAGACCAAGCGTATCCATCTTCGGGCCGCGGTTGAAGACGGACTCGTTCGGGAGCGACGACGAGGTGAAGTCGGTTATCTAGGCTTATTAGCTTGTGTGGCCAGCGGAAGGGTTGGTTAATACATATATGAGCCGCTAAGGCTTCTCGACATTGTTTTCTCAGTTGGAAGCGCTTTTGGTTGCTGCTTTTAGACATTGTAGTGTACTTTGGTCATTCAAAAAATTCCGGGAAAACTTCCGTGGGATTTTATAAAACAATGAAAACGAAATCACACTTGCACTAGATACCAAGTTAATGTAGGATCGATGATTCGTTCTTTGCTCAGGTAGAAAGTGGTGCCCATGGGTAGGGTGGCCCACTTTCGGAGTGTGGGTTTTCATTGGATGAGATACATCTTGTGATGATTTCAGCGTTGAGAATCAGTTGAAAGTCCCGGAAAACTTCCACTCCCCGAGCCCTCATGTATAGTGCTGGATGTGTGAGTCGCGCACAAATACTGCGACCCTCAATTTACGCGTGAAATACCTTCAATTATAACACTTGTTGGCAAAACACAGGACTCTGTTTGGCAGGGCTCACGATGCTGCGCATTTCTGCCCTTCGATATGGGCTGTGAAAGCCGGAATGGCTTGATAGAGGGTCAAAAAAAATGATGCATTGAGCAGAGAGTCAGGCTTGATCGCATATTCCACGGGGATTTCATTTCGTCTAGAAAACATATAAAAGGGGTCAAGTCAAGCCACCTGAATGTCCCGTTCGGCACGCGAT